GTCCTCGTTTCTGGCGGGTTTTGATATTTTCGAGAAAAGCTGCAAAAAATAAGCATCAACTGGACAAAATTAGGGCCCTGACCGTGTTGAGATTACCCTTCTCCATCCTACCACCACCTTTGCTCATATAGAGGGGAAAGGTGGTCGGAGTTGGAAGGTTATGTCGACTGGTCTCAGAATTAAATGCTACGGAAGCAGCCAGCAGTGGGGGTGATGTGATGGTTTAAGAGGTCGTCGAGACGCCCTGAGGAAGACGGGAGGTCGCCGAGACTCCCCAAGGTGGGAAGGGGTCTTAAAATTTTGAAATCGACGAACACCATGATTGACTGTGGTTCCTATACAGACGCACGCTCTCTACAGAGCTCATCTCATTGTAAATTTCATCTTAAATTTCTTCTCATACCTTCAGAATTACCTCACCAGTCACCCAAAGACAGGAACCTCTCCTTAGAAGTTATCAATACCCCTTAATACCCCCTAAGTATAATAACCACATAATGATAAACGGCAAAAACCATTATCTTTTCATATATTTCTTTTACCGTTATAAAATCTTCCGGACGCCGTGATAAAATTTTCAGAGCGCGCGCTTCCAGCGAATCTCAAGGATGGCCAACTCTGAACCTCATTGTTGATGTCCTACTTCACACATTTACCGAGTGATTCAACCGACTGGTGCCTACAACTTCGATATTTTATCGATTTTTTTTGAAGAAATCTTTATAAACTGTAGTCTGATGAAGTATTTCATTCATAAGCTGTATATGAAAAATAATACAAAATAAATAAAAACAATAATCCATCATCTATGCTAATCTGATCTGCGTTGAAAGACTAGTTTCATGAATTTCACACAAGCGTCACATATAGGCATATATGGAATTTCCTAAGCGAAAAAATGCAATACGAAGTGAAGAGAATGAAAGAGAGAATGAAATGATGTGTATAGTGAATGAACGGCTTATCTATGAAGAACAACGTAAAGCAGCGGTCAAACGAAGAACTCTATCAAGGCACAAAATTTATCACATATTAACAGATATTTATAAATATAGTGGCTCTAGTTTGAGCTTTTTCGTCATTAACCTGTAGACACATTGGACGGCACTAAGTGGTTCTGTGAACAATCAATACATATCGATTAGATTAGGATGTTTATTAGAGGCTCTATGTATGTAATATGTGGGAACGCTACACAATACACTATCGCTCTGGAACCTATTCTGCCTCAATGTGACAGGCTTGTCACCTGAAACTACATATTACGACCTGCAGAGAGAGGGTTCGGGACCGGTGGGCGGGTTCTATAGTGGATAGGTACCACGATCGAGTTCCTCAACGTCGCGTTCACTGAGAGGTTCGTAGTTGCGTAGCTTGCAATTGTAGACGTACATCTTGTTGTCTGGAGGGTTCAACTTGTAGCCAAGTCGTTGTAGATTCGTCTTCACTAATTTGAATGTTCCTGAAACGGAAGCAAAATTTATGGCTGATTAATTATAGGATTTTAAAGTACAGTAGACACATTTCAGTACTGACAACTCATTTTGAAGGGATGAGTAAATGATGTGAACTGTGGGTTCCTTACGGCATCATGCTCCCTGGATGAATCAATGCGGCACCGTGAACCAGCGAATGAGCGAATACAGTGATACTTGGGTTGCAATTCGCTTTCCCCCCCCCAAGCCTTCAATCACTCCCGAGGTTGAGTCACTGGCATGTTAAGGGTGTTTGGAAGAACAAAGTTGCAGCACAGGCATCACATTAGCAAGCCCCTTCAAGATTCCACTTATGTCAAACATGCAATCGAGTGCCAACATGGTATCACAATTGAACATGTGGAGCAACCCAAAGCGATAGTAACAACGTGGAGCGCCTAATCTTTGGATGCGTCCTCGATCAGCAGCTTGGAATGTTCCGAACGTATGAGAAGGAGCAGAGGTCATAGACAAGGCGAAGTGAAGCATGATTATAGTGGAAGGTGTTCCATTTATGACGCTCGCTTGCAGACTTGCTTTGCAGCCGGGCTCTC